CACTATGACAAATTTATTAAGGGCCGGTTGCATAAACGCAAATCAAATTTAATCTCTGATTAAGAACAATTGTAACTATGATAATAACAATCGTTACTATGGAGTTAATCAGAGATTAAATTTGATTTGCGTTTATGCAACCGGCCCTAAGTAAGTCAAATAATGAGAATGTTCACACGCCATTTTTCGTTAGTTACTTGCTCACCGAACGGGATAACGAAACTTCGGCTCTTGGTCCAAAAAAGTTCTGAATATTTAACTGATTGTTTATCATTTCAATAGAGTGAATCTTTATATTGTCTAGTATACAAAATCGTAATTAAACTGTTTTGTCGGCCTACAATATGACGCCTGATAATATATTGTGGCATAATACTACGATTTTTTATATAGATAACCAACCATACACATCTGTCGATAATAATCGCCAATTTACAATAATTGTTTATTAGCTACCAATTGATAATGAAATTAGTAGGCAATCGATAAAGAAGCCTGCTAACGAACTTTGAACAAAAAAGATAACCATGGTAAAAACATACAATCATGCATTCACTTTAACATTCTCTTGAGTGTAATTCTAAGAAAATGTTTAAGGAAAGAAGGCACAACAGAATTGTTATTGGTTTGGAAATTTATAAAAGAGGATATGATAACCGAAACATTCCGCCAAAAATTGGCATGTGAAAAAAATTCGAAAACCCGCGAAAAATTTGAAAGGCGTTATGTTTTGAAATGGTGGCATGCGTTCTAATGCAAGTGGTGGACCCCACAGGTGGAATAGTAACTTATAATTTACGACACAAAAATATGGCGTGAATAATTTTATTACATTTTTTCAAAACCCCGTATTCTCTCAACTATAAAATCTCCACGTTCCATTGAATTGCAAGATTACAAATTTCGAGCGCATACACACAGTTTGTTAAATGTACACAATCCTCTACTTTACAACATTATTATTATTAATACTAGTAGTAGTAGTAGTCGCTTAACAGGTCATACATTTATATGCATTAGCTATAATTACAAATGACATCATTTGTTTATATTAGTAACCCGATTTAACGAAATTTATTCTGAGCGATGGTAGCAGTTTCTAATATCCGTCGGGCTACAGTAGAATATATCCACACTATGGTTTATAGCACTCCAACATTTGGTACAATGGCGAAGCTGTCGCAACATTAGTTTTGGGTATCTGTTGCCGAAAAAGTATAGTTTTTCTTAAGGGTGGCGTCTGGTTCGATTTCGCCCAATACTAAATACATTGAAAACATCGTCGTAGTTTCCGGAATTGCATTTTTAAAATACTGAAATCTTCAACCAAGTCAGAATCTAAGTAAACCTGCATTCTGCTACCGCATCACAGCTCGTTTAATGCCGATTTCTCGTTTCAATAGATTTTGACTTTTCGCGAGTCATTTACCTCAGTCGTGGATTTTTTAATATTATAAATGGTATCAAAAGAAAGCTGACACTTTTCCCCAGGGGACCTCCTATCTCAGAATGCAAAAAACTTCAGCACTTCGTCAAAAAATGCATCAATGTGCCGGTTAAAATGTGATGTAAAAGTTGTTCAACTTTATAATTTTTTTTTTGTAAAAACTGCATACTAGATATGAATATAAATATGGAGGTCCCCTGGACTGAAGTTTGTTAATTCGAAATATAATTTTTTTAAAGCGATATATCTCATATTTGTAAAATGCAACTCCGGAAACCGCGACGATGTTTTCAATGTATTTAGTATAGGGCTAAACCGAAACAGACGCCAGCCTTAAGATCTTATTTGGAATAGTAAGGTTTATTAGTTCTAGGATGTTTTCCCACCTAATGGTGTAATTCATGATGTTATATATATAATATAATAACATATGTACATTTCCTTCTTGTTTCTAAGCTTTCTGTTCGAAATCTTCTGCAAAACATTATTTACAAAACCTCTGCATGGATACTGACCATCTGCCTTAAATACAAGATACTTCAGCCAACGTCTTTGTACTCTTTCAATATATTCAATGTGGATTTGATAAATTGGGCTCCATATAACACAGCAATACTCTAATCGAGATCTGACATACGCAGAATATAGTAATTTCATGACGTTAACATCACCGATCTCCCTAGTATTGTGAATGACAAACCCTAAACATGCATTCGCTGATGCCGTAACCCTTACAACATAAATAAAATTTAATTTGAAATCATAAGTAATACCCAAATCTTTAACAAATTCTTCAACCTCTTACCTAAACGGCGTGGTTGGCAATGCCCACATTATTAAGGTGGCGTGTTGGCAGGTTTTTTTTTATTGGCAGTTGGATGAAAAAGAACACGATTTAATTCAACAAGTTAAGGGACGTGAAACGAGTTGTGCTACCGGTTGTAGGTCCTGTCTTTGACTGTCTCTTCGCACCAACCACAGCTACGTACAAGCATGCCGCGGTGCCCCCGCAAGTGTCCGCTATGCCTTCTGTCTCCGCAACTATGCTCCATCCCCCGCGCGACCAACGGGGCTGGCTACTCCCAACAGAGTTTACTCTCCCAGCAAGACATCCTCCGAGTATCTCACTTGTCGGAATCGGGTATAAACAGTCAATGGAATGAAAAGAAAATTATCACTCTGGATTTGGCTCTCGCCACCCGAATTCAATAAAGCAGAATTAATGGATTAAGACTCGTGAATTGAATCCCCCATCATAAAAAAAAACATATTGTTACTAAATAAACCCATACGCCACCCCAGTACGACGCCTATGGACCGTCGAACTCGGAAGTCGCAAATACCCAATTCGAGAAAGACCTGGATCGCCGAAGTATGGGTTTAAATAGAGACCGCCTTCGGGAACACATTATTATTCAGCTTCTCAGTGATGAGAAGTTGCGCCGAAATTATTTTATTGCTGTTGGTCGTGTAAATTCTAGATAGTAAGAAATAATTTGTTGAGTTTTCATCCACGCGGAATTATTCGCCCGCTCATCGTAACAATATTAAATATGGTCGAAATCACAATAATATCGTGCGCAACACAGTTCACCATGCGCGGAGTGTCCGATAATAAACGTTCCAAAATTCAAGTAATATAACACATAAAGCATAATAAAATCAGCATAAAGTCCCCTTTCCCCCTTTGAATTCACGGTGACATTTACATTACTGACAATTTTTAAAGAGAATCCGTGTTTAAAATTAAATCGTGAATACTACCAATTACTATCTTAAAATTCTCAAATGAGAAACTGTTAAATTTAAATAATATTTTAGTTAGGAAAAACCCATTACACAATTTAAGATATTATAAAATATTACCAAGTTACTTATATAATAACGTGTATGGTGAGTTTTGTACAAAGTTGTTTTTGTAGAAAAGTATTCTAAAATATGATGTATAATTTCTTGCTTCTTAATCTCTCTCACTCTCTCTCTTGAATTTTTAATGCAATTCTAAAGTTTTTCAATTTTTTTACAAACATCAATTAAAATATCACATGGATAGTACAATCCGCCTCGCGACGTAAGGTCAATTAAACTGCCAAACAAATTTTCTTTGATGCTAAATAAGGATTCTACACATGTTTCACATTTTAGTAATTGTCCTTATTTCCGTGCTATAAATCCAGCTATATGAACTATTACTTCATCAGCAAATTAAGAAAATGTTTCTTCATGTTGTAGACTGGTTGTAGTATATTTTCATATTCATCTAAGTCTATTAGGTTTTCACTATAACTGGGATTAATTGATGATAAATCGTTGTTTTTTACTTCTTGTTTCACAGAAAAACAATTTAAAGTGTTTATATTTTCCAATGGCAGTTTCCAATTCCTCTTTCTTTTACTTCTGAATTTAGCATTAATTTCTTGTACGCAGATTTAAATTGACGACAAGTAAAGTTGTCGTTACACCCATGGTACAAGAAGACATGGTAGATCTATGATATTGCGCATTGTTTGTGACGTCATGTGGATCTCATGACCGCCAACTTTGAATTCTTGTTTGTTGCACGTTCGTATTATCACTATCAACGAACGATGCTAAATTTTGAATGTTATTAGCATCTGATTTCAACTTAGAACCTTCGAAGATAAGTCAACCCATGATTAAAAACTGAACCGAATCTCAATTTCCGTTATAATCTCACATTTGACATTTCACTGCTAAAATGATATTTGAAAGCTTTCGAAGTTGTTAGAAGAGCGTTTCAAGCACGGTTTTCAAGGCAATATGACCTCACGTGGCTGGTGCCCAAAGCAGACGAAAATTCATCCACCGGAGTAGCATACCATGTCTTCTTGTACCATGGTTAAACCCACCCAAGATACATCATCCACCAAATAACTGAGATGTAGGCCTATGAAGTGACACAGACCGATCGTAAGCAGGTTTGCGGTGGTTAATTTTGAGCCAAAACCGTACTATTGAAAGCATACGACATGCTCCCTCTTGTTCTACCCTTCTCGGATTGACTTAAAAATGGTAGGCGTCCGTGCCTCCGTTGACGCTTTCATAAAGCCCTGCTGACTATTGTCTTTCTCGAAAACATATTAGCATCATCACTGACTAATTATGTTAAAAATATCCGTCTATCTGAGACACACCTCCGGGTGAAGCTAGCGCACATTCATATTGAAAGCGTGTACTTCAAAATATATTACCAAGACGCCCTTTAATCAATCACAACGTTCTATAAATATTATTTGCTATTTGTTTAATAATATATTTTTGATATTGTCATATGTAGGTATATTAAAACAAACTAATTCTTAATTTTTCCAGGGGAGGCACTACCTTCCTTGACGAGCCACCATTGTTAATTACTATGTAGTTATGTCTTTTAAAATAACAATGAATAAAGTTCGTGTAAATCAGAAAAAATTACCAAAATAAAAAAATCGTTATGTATTATGTATTCCAAAACAAGTAGTAAAATTACATTGAACAAATTTGATTATTAATATTATTACTATTAATTATATTATTATTCGATAACGTCACTAACGTGTAACTGGGTAAGGTTAAAATGTTAAAACTGTCGATACACCTACATACCATTAAATCATTGATAAAGAAGTGCTTATTTTACAATATAAATTTCATGTGTGATTTAGTTTACTTGCAAATTTTTGAGAGGATGTCATCAAGCTTCAAACTTTGCACGACCTAAAATTTCACACTAAGTAGATCACTGATTTCGAAGATTCTCTACCTAATATAATTCCAAAATCCTGACAAGCAGACTGATAACGGGGTAGCCTCATTTTTGTGTTGTATAAGTCCTAAAACGAAAAGACAACATTAGGAATTCATGAAAGTGTTCCTGTAGCCTGTAGGTAACAATATTTCATTATTTCCATAGCTCGAAATAGAAAAACGAAAAAATGTTACGTTTTGAATGACATCATAGAGTGCACCAAAGTATTAGTGGTTGCATATAACCATAATAATCAGTGAAAATTTTCCCTCATCTTGTACTTTTTCACTCACGCTTTTTTATTATTTCTCTTAATACTGTTGCAAGAAAATAGGTGAAAACGGCCCTCATAGTGATGCAAAACACTTCCTCTAAAAAAAGTTGCGAATATTTGTGAACGAAAATAAAAGCAGAGATATTATTTATGTACTTCAGCTGTCGTTTTCCTTATGCAGGTTTCATCACGAAAGGGTACAGCTGGTGGGAGTGCGCAGAACATTGTTTTGGTTTGGCCTTACAAATATCGTGAGAGCAGTGGCAGCGGCGATGAATCTTTCGACTTTGAGATATCAAAATATTATTGGTGTTAATAAAAATATCAATTTTCTATTTTATTAGCGTTGACATTATAGAAAATGAATTTAAAGGTTTGTTAATGCTGTATTATGATGTATTAGTTGAATAAAAAACTAAGTAAAAGAACTAAAAAGGTAACTTTCAGTGAGCAATAACAACTGATAAATTACGGTACAGTCTAGAGTCAAAGCTATATTAAACGACAATTATGCTAAAATATGAACTGTGATTATTATTTCGAGGTTAAAGACAAAAAACGTTAAGCCTTATTGTAATCCGACTTTATAGTATGTATTGACAAATTGTGCCAGAAAATTAAAAATCATGTAACTATAGTCATGGGTTGCTAATTCTCAGGGTTTTATCCCCGCTTTTATCTAAAGATTTAACTGTTGATTCAAGACTAGTCGACTATAAAATAGCGTATGATACTGGTTTATAATGCGGGGTTCGTGAAATTTTTTACTCATGCTATAATCCCTATTGTTACGTAAGCCTATTTTTTACCAAACAAATAAATTTATTTTTATTAAATAGTTCTGTATTCTATTGTAGAAATTGCTCTATTTTTCATTGTTTTTGAAAGAAATATAACTCAGCGGAAGCTGAGCCTCCCTTCTCAATACATAGATGTTACGCCACTGCTAGCCCGACCACAAGTCGCGCAACTTAAGCCCCGCCCCTGTACCCTTTCGTAGTGAAATTACTTACGCAATTTGCTCCTGTATGTTAAATTCGGAGACAAAACTTTGTGGCAAAATGAATTTTCATCAATTTAATAGGGTTCACTAATTTGGGAAAAGACTGAAATTTTGGCTACCGTATTTAAGTGTCAAAATAGAACGACAAAAATAACAGACGTACAATAAATCGAAATTTGTAAATTGTACCTTGCAGAGAGTGTTCGTACTTACGATCGAAAATTGCCTGCGTCTATAAAAACTGCCTATAAAGAGTGCTTTTGCGCTGTTACATCCGGTTTCCAGCTTTCACTGTAACATATACATAAAATAAAACCTGCTCAAAAGGAACTGACGATGGCTTGGAATTTCTGACGTCACTGTGGCACGCGTCGCACAGAGGTGTATTTAATTATACATTTCGACTTTTCCCTTATAATATAATCTGTTCAGTTTTTGAGCTCCATTTCGCCAATAATAACTCTATCGTTGGGATTTCATTTTTACTATAGTTCTGATCAACTACTGTTCAAATATGTTCACCTGAGATAATGCTGATAAAAAACAATACTTGACCAAAACTTAATTCAACAGAAATTGTAACAATTATTACACATAAACGTAATATCTAAATAGGAAAATTCACAACCCTTAAAAATAATAATACACACTAAAGCACACTTGACCTCATAAAACAAAGGCATTAATAAGTCCACCTACTTTCGACTCTATATACGAACACTGTATATCTCTGCAAGCTACTACATAAAAATTTATGTAAAATAGTCAAAAATAGCAGATATAACTTCAGACTTTGTTCCAACAATTGCGTAGGTATGTACCACAACGTTCTTTTACTATCAATTAAAATCAAATTTACTTTAGCCTGCAACCTTAAACACATTCCCTACATGTGTTTTAAATATTTACAATGCTTTAAATTAAATTAACTATATCGTCTTTGATTTTTCCCCCTATTTTTCCGTGCCCTTCCCATTTCTACCATACCTCTTTCATCCAGTCAATTACTCTCCCATTCTCACACAGCGCTTCGTCTCTAATCTACTGTCTATCTTTCATTTCTGTACATTCTTTCAACATATGCTTCAACGTTTCTCGCCCTTCTAAACACATCCTGCATAGTCTTTCCTCATCCTCTGCTCAATACGTATTTTCTCTCCCCTCATGCTGCATCAGAATCTTGCTATCATCTTTCTAGCTACTCGAAAGCTCCATTTCAAAAACTTCTCTTGAACCCTCTCCGTATATGTGCAGACCACGTCTCTTAGAAATTTGCGCCCGCACGGCGCATGGATTGCGGGGATGTTACCTATGCCGCTAGTGTTTACTTTATAGAGGTTATCACAGTACAAAAATCGCAATACCACTTTTATAATTTTTTGAAGAAGCGTCATTTTTTGGACTTCAAGCGCGTGAAGTTCTGTCGAAATAAACTTTTTTACTTCCTCGGCGTAAACTAAGGAAGTATAGTAATCGAGTCCATCTGGCGACTTGCCACTTTCATGTTTTTTCGACGTTTTATGATTAGAGAACGAAAACAGTGGTCTCCCGTTTTCGTCTGTCTGTCGTTTGTCTGTCGTCTGTCTGTCGTCTGTCTGTCGCCTGTCTGTCGTCTGTCTGTCGCCTGTCATCTGCCTGTCGTCTGTCTGTTATCTGTTTATCGTCTGTCTGTGTCTGTTGATTTTTAATAGACAGATACTCTCCGAAACTACTAGACCGATTGTTGTCCAATTTTATATGTATATGTACAAGACCATCATGTAGATGTTAACCAAAATTTTACTGATCATCTCCACCAACAATTTGATGACGTCATCTCCAAGATTTACAATAGTAAATTAATTCAAATTTTATAAAATAAGATACTCCCGTGTATGAATTCGTGTTGAGGTTTCACCCTAGACATCCAGATATTTGTAAAAAAAATCAAAATTGTATAAACAAATTTTAACTTTGAAACAGCAAAACTGAATGCTGTGAAATCTCGTAAATGTTGTAATGTTATCGTAATCATGGTAAACAGTTAATCAAAATTTATTCGTTTATCTCAAAACTTTACCGAATAAATTCTCTCTAAAATATGCAAAATATTATGACTTTATACTTGGGTATGAATGCACTCATAGTTTTTAGAATTACCTATACAGGGTAATTCAAACAAATTAATGAATGAGGCAGTTTCACAAGAATGCTTTTTACCTGTTCTTTAACAATCCACACATAATAATTTTAGCTCATAAAAAGAAATAAAATTCTCATTTATAAGTCTCCTAAGTGCAATGGTTGTTTTCGGAAATTTTTTCGAATGTATTCCAATAATGTATTAATTAGCCCTAGGAGAACAAGAGGGCCTAATTACATTATTGAAATGCATCAGAAAAAACTTCAGAGAATCAATCATTGCACAAGAGCAGATTCGGTAAGAAAATCTTAGACGACACAGAACACACTTATACTATCCCTATCTAGACCATTTCATTTAAATTAATGTATCAATATGTAATAAAAGTATTCTTAACAATCTCCAACAAATTATTAGTTATAATAATTGTGTATTTCATTTTAATGAATAGGTAATATTTCTTACTTATGATGCATAATAAAAAAATGCAACTTTTGATTTTGATTGGTTGAAAAAAAAATCACTTATTAATCTCTCCTGGTTAGTAAGGGAACAAAATTTCCAGGAAAAATTTGTGTTACTATGGCAACCGTGCTAAATTATGCCCTCCTATTGGCCAGTATTTGGTATGTCGTACGATTTTCTAAGTTAAATTTTATAATTTTTCAGTTGTATTTTATTGGCTGTATTTTAGGGGAGAGGGGAGCTATATCGAAATAACCTTGGACGAATTTTTTCTTTGCAGATATGATTTACTATTTTTTTAAGCATAAAACTCGTTCTATTGTGCAATCAAAAAATATGGCGTAATTGTGTTCAGAGAGATGTGATAATCATGATTTAAACACGCAACTCACACCAAACAATAGATATACGTCATATTGTACTCGTACATCACAGTCGTCTTAATATTTCCAGTGTAATATCAGATATTTGTTCTCACTATCTTAACTTATCGAATTCACATTTCTTTTTTATTTATCCATATGTACATCTTTTCAGCAGTGATCACTTAACAAACACAAAACAGTGGAACACAGTGACTCATGCATATCAAACGTTTTGCAATTTTTCTTGTATTGAAGATAACAAAATTAATGTTAACATCTTTTTCTTGTATTCTGATCAATTTTTACTGCAAGAAAAATTGGTGGAAGAATGTTTCGACAGAACCTTCCTCGCCCTTAACGTATAATAAAAACATAGCCTGCTTTTTCTAAAAGTTATAAAATTTGATTTTGCCAAAGATATGTATTTAATGTTAAAGTAAATCCAAAGAAGCGTGCTACGCGCATGTTTCAAATGCGTTTTTCCTTTATAAAATTTTTTTGTGATGACGTCATCAACATTTTTGTAAGTTCACGCATAGCAATTTGGGTAGATGTAGTGTAATACTAATAACAACAGTATTGTAGTTCAAAATTTTCGAGAAAATGAAGCAAACAAAGTTTTTAAATTTGCCAAAAATCGATCCGTAGTTTCGGACATTATTTGTCAAACAAAAATCAACACAGATTGTCTAACAAAAATCGATTCTATTGATTAAATGAGAAAGTAAAACCGAATGCTTTGAAATCTTGGAGACGTTTTAAAGTTATCGTAAGCTTGGTAAATTTTTAATCAAAATATATTTGTCTCCCAAAAAATTGATTACATTATCTCAAAATTTTGCTGAATAAATCCCATGTAAAATGGATATGCACTCAATAAATTAATGAATGAGTCAATTTATTTTTTTGATTACCTAACTCAGGATCGGCTCATTTAATTTTCCCGAAAATTTGGCAGCACAGTCGTATTCAATGAACAAATGTGCAACTGTTATGTTCTTTTTTGTAATAATTTTTACTATTGTAAATTGGGCTAATATATTATTGTAACGTTCAAAGTATTATGGGTTGTCTATATAATTTTGAACTAATAATGATAAGTAAAATTTGTGTAAAGATACTTATTAAAGAAACTTGTAATTGCATGTAGCATTATTATTCCATGACCTAAAATAAAATAGAGGTAAAATT